TTTTTGAGAAGTTAAAGGAAAAAGGAATGTTTTTGGATGAGAAGGGATTTTATAAAGAAGGGTTTGTCCTAAAGATTGTTTCAAATAGGAGGGATAAGGACAAGCCATCACAGGGTTTAGTATGTTATATAAAGGTCTAAGTAAGTTATAAAAGTGTATAATAAAAAGCTTCAATGTGTGATAAAGTTAAAGTTGAATATAATCTAAGAGTTGCCTAAAAGATTTTTAGGGTCATGTCAAACTGAAATCAAATTCTTTATGTCTATAAAATAACAAGGTTATCTTAATATTGCTCTGCTCTGAGTAACATCTACAAAAAAACTGTTACAGAGAGATTTTATCAAAGAAATTATTTGTGTTTTCGGCTGATCTTGTCAAGCTTTAAGTACTACTACATCAGAGTTCATTTATATATTTGCTTATGTGTCTTAAATGACCACCTTGTAACAGTGTTTTGTCTATACTTTATCTAAATATGGTACATTTACAAAGTTATATACAAAATGAGCTAAAGCTCTCTTTTATCCAAGAGTGTTACACTTAACCTAAATCTTGACAGTCAGCCCCTACCTCCCACAGGTCACCTACCTAGGTGTATTCTTAAAGGGACAGACTCACTCCCTGATTCATGAGGGAATCAACTCAATCTTCCATTTCCCTTTCCCCCATACCATAAAGCAGCTTAGAGCTTTCTTGGGAGTTACAGGATTTTGCAGAATTTAGATCCCTAGATATGCAGTCCCTTAGCAGACACCTTTTTTGCTCCTTCTAATAAACTTGCCTCTTACAGATCCTGCTCCTCTGGCTGACTATCTACCTTATCTTAACCTTCTCAGGGAACTTCTCAGAGAGCATGCAGACCAGATCCTGCCCACCCTATAACAATTTCTGTTAAACCAGGGGATCTTGTTCTCCCAAATGATCTTCTACCCTATCCATTGGGACTTCAGTGGACCAGCCCTCATCTGGTCATTCTCACAATACCCACTGCTGTCAAGCTCAATGGGATATCCAGTGGCAGCACCTCTCAAGGAACAGTTAGAAAAACAGAGAAGGGAGTTGGAGGACTCTTGGAATCCTCTAGGGAACAACATTTCACAGTGGTTCTCCTGGCCAATGCCCATACTGATGCCTGTGTTCTCGCTCTCCTATTCTTAAGCTTCCTGCCTTGTATCATACCACATGTCTGCTATTGCTAATCAAAAGTTTAACCAGTTGTACCTCCAGGGATACCAACCTCTCCAAAACCATCCAGAGGACTGCTATGAGGGTCCCTACCAGGACACCACAGGAATCTGAGGATCTTGCCCCATATAGCACCCCCTGCCAGCAGGAATCAGCTAAGAGGCCAACAGTTTGCCCCAATTCCCAATCCTCAGCCCTTACCCCCATCATTATTAAAGAAAAAATGGGGGAATGATAGAGTAATAATGTCGCCATTTTGTGAATCTGTAGCCAAAATGGCAGCCCCACCCTTAGCAGAAATCCCCATGCTCTAAGACAGCCCCACCCCTGCTGGAGACTCCCATGCATGCGCTAACTTCCTTACCCTCCCCCTTCTATAAAAGCCATGCCTGGCCCAGAGTCTGTGCTGCACCATCTTTCCCTGACCAGCCTGGCAGTTCCGGCCTGCCGTTGAGCTTTGCTCTTGGATGTGAGATTTTCTCATGAGCTTTCTTTGTGAGTGGCGTTTTTCCTAACAATAACCCTGTTGAAAGTCAAGTAGCATCTGTGAAAGGATGTTGGAAATGGTTTTTTCTTTTTTTTTTTTTTTACGTATAAGATATTAAACTGATAAGAACAGATTCTACACTTGATCTTAGCCAAAAGGCTGAGAAGCGATGGAAATGTCTTAAAATTAGATTATGTTGATGGTTGCCCAACTCTATATACATGCTACAATCCATTGCACTGAAAATCTTAAGGGAATAAACTGCATAGTAAATAAAGTATATCTCAATCAGACTGTTAAAGGAAAGTTAGAAGTGGAATTGGTCCAAAGTGTAGAATTAGAGAAGATAGGATATATAATGGGGGCATTGAACAGTAAATCTCCCCCTGTAGGAAACCAGAATATACCACCCCAGCAGGTGGTGGTTCTTTTTGGCATGAGGATTACTTTGAGAGCTGGCAGCCACAGAAGCAGCTCTGAAAATGTAGCAAAAGTTACCCTTTTGTAAGGGGAATTTACATTGATTAAGGAAATCCCTACTGATAAGGGATGTCTCCCTATCAGGAAGAGAAGTTAACCAAGACCCAAGAGATTCTCACCAATGGAGAACAGGCCAACCCAACTTAAACCTGTGCTTTTCCTGGTCACTTTCTCAGAGCTTGCCCCTTCTTTCTATTATAGTTGAAAATGCTTCATAAGGTGGAGTTCTAAGCCACCTCTTTGAGACATCCTCATTTCTCTGGGTACCTCCCATGGATATATGCAATATACATTATTCTAGACTTATGTAGGTTGTCTCTTAATCAGTCTTTTGGTACAAGAGTGGACTTCCATTTGAAGACTTGGAAGGACATAGGGGAAATCGTTTTCATCCTCTATTCCACCAGCTCCAACAAGCTGACTTCTAGAAAGTTGGACCACCTTCTGCTAGCTCCGACATTACCCTAAGCCATCAGGTATACCTTACAGCAGAGGGGATAACGGCTTTTTGTCACAATTCAAGAATTCCAGTCCTAGGGTAAGTCCAAGGTGCACTCCACTCTAGAAAACTGTCCTGTTGATAGATAGGGGACAATTCCCAAGTCAGCTGATTTCATTACCTTAAGAGATTTTACAACTCATATTAACAAGAAGTTGATAGACATAAAAATTCTCTCCTCTCCTTGTATGCACATATGAATAATAAAAGAAAAAAAAATTCTCTCCTGTGACTTCCCTCCTCCCTGTGGAAAAACCAGTTTTGCCCCAATTTGCAATTCATTTGATTCTTACCCTAAATGAACTCAAACTTCTGCGTGTTTCTCTTGCATTGTGCGTGTTTGTCTCAACTAGAATAAAATCTTGAACACATGTTTGTGTCTCATATCTATATCAGAGTCATGCTTTTGCGTTTTATTGCAAATTATCTTTTAACAACTCTTTTTTTTGGTGGTTTGAACTCAAGGCCTCATGCTTGCTAGGCAGGTGCTCTACCACTTGAGCCACCTCAGCCAGACTAGCTTTAACAACTCCTATCTGCATATAAATTCTCACACATCCTGTCCGCTAAAGTCAAAAGTTTTCATTTAAAAAGGAGAGAAAAGTAGATCTTCCAAACACCGTGAGGATGTCTAAAAGTCAGTTTCCCCTAAACAGTGTCTTCCTCTGCATCTGTCTTCTTGCCCAGCCAGATAGTACAGCAGCATTGGGTTGGAACCTGAGAACAAGGAAGTGAACTACTGATTATTCCGCTCCTATCAGTTGGCCTCCAATCTCCAAGTCCAACCCATCCCTAAGGTAATGAGAGGCACTGCAGATTGTCAACAGTGGCTCCGCTGGCACTCAGGAGTTCAGCTGCATCTCCAAGTCCTGCAGAACATAGGGGGAGATGGAGGAGCTGCTCCACTCACTCAAACCAATGCCAGGGGTAAGAAAATGCCTTCCCATGGCCCAGTTCACTTGCCTAGCTTTGCAAACAGGCATCAGGATATAGGCATACAATCACACATGCCAGTGCATAGGAGAACTCAGAGTAAAGGTTGGGGGGTGAGGCACACAGACAGAGACGGAGAAAAACAGAGGGGAAGCCTCCCAGCTCATTCCCTGGACTACTGCCATGACCTTACTGTGCAGCCTGGGATGAAGCCCCCACTGTTGTCCATGACACTATCAGCTTCTCAGAAGCCTGCCCTTACCTTCTCATCCTCTCTGTGGAAGGCAGTTTAAGCACTCATTGGTGCATGCCATGGGCGAAGGCCAAGGACTTTGGGTAAGGAAATTAAGCTGTGCTCAGGAGAAACACACACTGCCAGGTATGAGCAATGAACCCAGGTCCCCAAACCTGCAAAGCCCTACCCTCCTGAGTGGCACCTTTCCCACTTGAACTGCCTAAAAAAGACCTTGCAATTCAACACACTGGAAGCAGTATTTCTAAAATGAATAATTCACAGTTCTTTATGGAGGCTGCATCTCTGGATTTGCTAAGTTTTCTAGAAATCAAGAGAACGTCATCATTTTATTGCTCTGAGTTGCACATTTTTCCCCAAGTTATCTGTTTCTTTTCCTTCTTTCCTTAAGTTAAACCAGAGTTAATGATTTCTCAGAGGTGCTGCTGTGTGGTAGGTAAGAATGCAACCTCTGGGCCCCTGGGATCTGGACCCTAAGCCTCCAGCACACTCCATTATCTTGGGTGACCTCAGGCACACGGAGGCAGTAAAATGAGATGGCTATCATGCCCTGCTCCTAGAGTGGCCACAGGGGTACACAAGTGCCTTTTCATGAAGCCTTCCACAGTGTCCCACTGAGAACAGCCCTCAGACATGCTGCTCATTGCTGTTATGGTCACCATTTCCGACAAGAGGCAGTGGTGACTAGAGGTTGGATGTGCACCATGAGCAAGGCACTGCATGTGGTAGTTTTATGGTGTCTTCATGATAATCCCAGGAAGTGGGAACCTGATCTACTCCTGGTTTTGGATGAAGCCAGGAGAGTAAGTCACCCGAAACAAGTGAATTCGAATATGCCATATGCAATGTTCTCCTATGTTCTACCTCCAGAAATTGGCATCAGAGATGAAGAAAAGGGAGGTGAACTTGTTTGAACAAAAGGAGTTTCTCTTCCTTCAAGCCATGCCAACCTAGAAGCGTTCACAAAGCGCAGAGTGGCTCCTCCTTTCCTCTTTTCCTCCTTTCACTGGCAGAGGCTGAGTGCACTGGGCTGTACCAGAGTGGCTCACTGTTGAGATAAGGTGTGTGCGCTCCCTGGCCCGGACCTTAGCAGAGAGGAGCTCTGCTCACCACATCAAGCCCAAGGACATGCAGAAACTTCTTTTAGGGCTCAACCCTCCAGCATGAGGTCCTGTCCCTGGCGATTCAGTCCCCTGGGCCAAAGTGTCCGGTGGCCCTTGCTCTTGGCTGTGTTGATCTTCTTGCTCTACACTCTGCCCTCCTTTATTAAGGAACCTAGCACAAAGCCTTCCAGGTAAGATTCAACCCTTCAACCCCTTCCAGGCTCCTCGCTATTTTGGGAAACTGAGAGACTGTAGTCTGGAGAACCTAGAGCCACCTCTGTGTCCACATGTGGTGTCTGGATCAGAAATGTTGTGGAGACCCCCCTGGGAAGGAAGACCAATACAAAAAGTTGGAGATGGAGGTGGTGGTGGGAGTGGGAGTGGGACAGGTGGGTTTTTAGAGAAGAAATGAAGGCAGGAGTTGAGGAGCAGGGGGTCCCTCTGGGACAGCACACAATCAGAGCAGTGCTGGTGGTGGTTCTCCCATCACCATGTACAGGTGGCCGTCCTGTACATCCTAACATGAAAAGTTTATCACAGGTATTCCATGTGTCTCAAAAATCATACTCACCCTCAAAGCCTGCCAGTAAAATGGGAGACAGCTGCAGTTCTACATCCCTCATTAATCCTCCAAAAGGACCTTCTAGACTTCTTTTAAAGGAAATAAACATCTCCAGCAGCAAGAGACCTCTTTCTAGACTCAAATGTTTTTCCTTCACTATTCTTAAAATTTGAAAATGACAGAGAAGTGAAGAAGGAAGTCCCCTCATACTCCCACACCTGACTGTTCTTAATACTTTGGTGTGAATAGAATTACGATGTTATTATTATAGCTAACACTTCTATTCTATAGCATTTACTAGATGCTTTATGAACATTCACTCACTAATTCTCATTATTAGGAGGATTCTGAAGACAGAGAACAAAGGTGTTACCCAGGATCACACTGCTAGCACATCACAGGGTCAGCATTTTTTTTTTTTTTTTTACAGTGCTGGGGTTTGATCCCAGGGCCTCACACTTGCCAGGCAGGTGCTCTACCACTTGAGCCACTCCACCAGCCCCAAACTCAGACATTTTGATACCATAGCCTGTGCTCCTTACTTTTATGCTATGCAAGCCCTTAATCTACATATCCCACAATACATATGCAGGGTGACTTTTTTGTTTTGTTTCTTTAAGACAAGGTCTGGCTATGTAGCTCAGGCTGGCCTAGAACTCAGGGTCCTTCTGCCTCAGCCTCCTGAGTGTTGGGATTACTCAGCACACCAAACCCAGCACACAGGGTGATTTTGTGTGTGTTTGTGTGTGTGTTAATTGTATAAAGTGAGGGACTTCATTGTGATAGTTCCATATATGCATATAGTGTACTTTAATCATATTTTCCCACAGAGTGACTTAAGTCTCACTGTATCATGAGCATTTTTCCATGATGGTGTACCCAGACAGACTCCCTTCTCAGTACTAGCTTCATAGCATTTTGCAAAGCAGGTAGCATTTAAATAACTGGTCCCTATTGATTGGCACTTGGGTTTGGCACCTGGGTTGCCACTCATTTCTCACATTCTCTGTGCACTTAGCCTTTCTGAAGGTAGATTTCTTGAAGTGGAATTGCCCAGACAATAGATAGGTTCCTTCAAAACCTTCATGGACACCATGGAATCATTCTCTCAAAAGACTCCACCAATGTTGGGAGAGTTGACTCTTGCCCTCCTCTCACAACCCTGTCTGTCCTTAATGTTCTGAAGGTTTAATCATCTCATAGGGTATGTTTCTGTCCTTAATTGTCATTTCTCAGATGCATAGTGAATCTGGGGATCTTCTTTGGTTTATGAGCCATTTATATTTTTTATGAGTGACATGTTCATATCTTTTGCTCTTCTTTAAATTAAATGTCTCTTCCCTATTTGTAGGAACTGTTTTATGCATTAGAGAAATTAATCTTTTTCTATCATATATGTCATAAGATTCTCTAGGCATCCTAGCACTTGGAGGCTGAGGCAGGAGGACTGAGAGTTTGAGGTCAGACCAGGCTATGTAGCAAGACCCTGCCTCAGAAAAACAGAAAACAAAAATGTTTCTCTGGCCTGGTGTCTGTTGTTTGTGCTTTCTTGTGTCATATAGAAGTTTTCTCATATAGGTAAGTCTATATTTTCCTTTACAGTCTTTAGGAAGGTCGGTCCTACCCCCAAATTATACAAAGTTTCCTCTCTGCTTTCTACTAATATTTCTGTCCTTTCATTCTTCTACCTTAAGTAAATACAGCAGAACTTTATCTTGGTGCATGGTATGAATGTCAGTTTGTATTTGTTGGGACTCCTGATTGCAACTAACAAAACCGGAACTCAGCCTGGCAGTGTGGGGGACAGGTCAAGGAAAACAAAAGTGTGTGTGTGTGTGTGTGTGTGTGTGTGTGTGCGCGCGCTGGGGGGAGCTCAGATGATTAAAGAACTCCTGGAGAGGAGTGTGGGGTAGCAGCAGCTGCAGAGTACCCCTCCTCGTGACAGGGTGCCTGTCCTCTTCCCCTAGCTAAGAGGTAAATGGTAGGTAGACTGGTGTCTGTTTCTGGTCTAGAGATGTCTGAAGGCTGAAGGTCATTGTGACTGTCCCTAGTGTAATATTACTGGGAAGAAGATGAACACTATACCCACCCTAGGCCTTCACAGCCCAGGAGGCTGTGGACCAGGACAGTAGAGGCCCAGACTTTCCAGTTACCTGCTGGGGCCAAGTAATAGGACACTCACCCCAGGAAAATCTTGGGGGACATTGATTGCTTCCAGGGACAGTGGACAACAAGGTCTTAGGAAGAACCCCCGCGAGGGGATCTTCAGCACCCAGGGGGAACTCACCCCCAACCTCCCCACAGAAACCATATCTACTGATTGGCCAGGGAGCCTGTGAGCAGTGGCTCAGGTGTGGCACAGAGGCTGATGGGCTGATGAATGCCAGGGTGGGCAGGGATCCCCCTGCACACACACACACAGCCAGGAGGGCTGACATAATGATAACCCAAAGATTAGGCTTTGGGGGAAAAGGCAGGACTGGTGGTATTGCTCACTGTAGAGTGCTTGCCTAGCATGCAAGAGGCCCTGGGTTCCATCCCTAGAACTACAGGGAGAGACAGAGAAGAAAGGGAGGGAGGGAGGGGGAGAGAGAGTGCCCTTTTTTGTGATGGGTTCTTTCGAGATAGGGTTTCACAAACTATTTGCCTGGGCTGGCTTTGAACTGTGATCCTACCCGTCTCCTGAGTAGCTAGGATTACAGGCATGAGCTACCAGTGGCCAGCTCTGAGTTTTAGTCATCAAACGTGGAGTCTAATCACAAGGTTAAGGACTAGGAAAAGGTACACATGTTGACACTGCTCAGTACACTGTTCACGTAATTATGTTCCCAAATGACTAACTGAGGAAGCAAGTGCCACAGAGTGAAGAGGGCCCTGGCAGGCTGCAAAGGGGCCATGGGAGGCAGGCAGGCAGGCAGAGCGTGACTACGTGATGAGGGAAAGAAAGGCACTCGGGAGAGGAGCTCCTACCAAGAATGAGGTTGGCTAAGAAGTCCATCAGGGAGAACTGGCCTCCCAGCTCTGAAGGACTCACCCTGGGGAGCAAAGGAAGGTCACCGGAGAAGGGGTGAGGTCAGGGTTGCTGAAAAGGGCTTTTAGGCAGATAGGTAGCTTCCTGAGCGTGACACGTTAAGATAATTAATCTGCCAGTTGTGAAGAGAATAGATTAGTTGCCACTTTGGACTGACCAGCATGGCAACCAAGGGTGGGGAATGGGGTCAGAGTAATTTCCCAAGTAGACAATCCTGACAGGAAGTGTGACAAAGAGGCTTTAGCCACTGAAACATAAGGGAGACACAGATCTGGGAGTAGAAAGAAGTGGAATATGAAGAGATATTTTGAAGGAGTAGGAGGAAGAGGGGGAGAGACCAAAGTGACCATAAGTTTTGCAACTTAACAGATTGGTCACGGTTCCCCTGATCCCCACAGTGCTGTCTGGGTAGAGGGTAGCAGTAAAATCAGACGTAAAAGACAGTTGTTGCCAGGTGACACTGGCTCACACCTGTAATCCTAGCTCTCAGGAGGCAGAAATCAAGAGGATTGCAGTTTGAAGCCAGCCTGGACAAATAGTCCGAGAGACCCTATCTCAAAAAATCCCATCACAAAAAAGGGCTGGTGGAGTGGCTCAAGGTGTAGGCCCTGAGTTCAAGCCCCAATACTGCAAAAAAGACAGCTATAGTCGGGTGTGGTGGCTCATGCCTGTAATCCCAGAGCTCAGGAGGTGGAGGCAGGATGATTGTGAGTTCTAGGCCAGTCAGGGCTACATACTGAGACCCTGTCTCAGAAAAAAAAGGAAGCTGGGTGCTGGTGACTCAAGCCTATAATTGCTACTTGGGAGACTGAGATCAGGAGGATTGCAGTTTGAGGCCAGCCCCGCTAAAAAGCTCCATGACCCAATCGCAATTAATGGCTGAGTGGAGTGGTACATGACTGTCATCCCAGCTACTTGAGAGGCCAAGGTTCCAGGCCACCTGGGGGAAAAAAAGAAGTTTGAGAGACCCCATCTGAACAGAAAAGGCTGAGCATGGTGGTACATGCCTGTCATTCCAGTGATGGCAGGAAGCATGAAATAGTAGAATCATGGTCCAGACAAGCCTGGGCAAAAACCAAACCCTATCTCAAAAAAAAACAGAGGAAAAATCGCTGGAGTTGTGGCTCAAGCGTTATCAGCATGAGGCCCTGAGTTCAAACCGCAGTACTTTCAAACCAACCAACCTGATGAATAAGACACTAAATTAAGAGAGCTGTAAAAGGTGACTGGGCTCATGACAGTCATATCAAGGTGGTGGCTTTCCATTATCATTTCAGAATTAAGCAGGCCCAGGAGCTTTCTGTGTATTATCTTGATCTTCACAACCTTGTCCAAACTTAAGATGTTTATTCTTTTTCAAAGATGGCATCTAGGAGCTAATTCCACCCCACTGGGAAACAGCAAAACAGGTTACAAGTACCTGCCTCGAATGCACTTACAGACTAGGGCTCCAAATACCTTCTTCCCTCAGCTACCTGGCATGTGTGGACTCCAGAGATTTAAGGTCTTTCTCCTCTAATGGAGAAGCAAGCTACACAAAGTGAAAGAACGTGCCATTGTTGTTATTATTCATGAGCAACTGTAATAAGGTCAAGGGG